GGACCGCCACGCGATCCGACCGTTGCCGTTCCCACACCGGCTGGACAGGACTGGCTGCGGCAGCCTTTCCAAGAAGGCCCAATTAGGGCCCAGCCCCCATTTGGCTACAGCATGCTGTCACCAGCCCCGAAGCTAGGGCAGGCCCCATGGCCTGGCCCCCATCCGGCTGCAGGAAGGGCTGCTGGTGGCCCCCCTCCTGCTGTGCCATGGGTGGGAGGGGAGGCCACAATCCAACTGTGGCACTCCTTGTCCAGCCCCTTGTCCAACCACTGTTAACCAGGTGCAGTAGCTCAGCCTCAGCCAAGTAAGGTAACCTGGCTCCAGTGCCTCCCCCTCTACTGCCTGGCTCCAGTGCTGCCCTGCCCCTGCACTCCCCAACCCTCTGCCCCCATCACCTTAACCCTGACTCCTGCACCCCCCCAAACTGCACCCCCAGCAGCAGCCCCATTAAATAATGTCTGAGCACAATGTTTTGTTAATGCTATTAATCATCATGTCAATTAGCAATAATATTAAGTTGTATATTTTCAGTCATACAAATGGGCATTCTTACACTGACTCGCTGTTGGCCACTTGTTCTGAATTCTGATGTAGTTTGGCTCTTTGGTTTGAAAAGTTGCTGACCCCGGCTAGAGGCCAAATAAAAGAACCTGCGTGATGAAATCTGGAGTCAAACGAAGCTTACTGGATCCCAGGGAAGAAGAGGACGTGATCTCCCAGAACCCAAGAAGGCGTTTCTGGATAAGCTGAGTGAAAAAGGTTTCAGAGGGAATCCCAACAAGTTAAAGAAACCGATCACGTCATTTGACCCATATAACAAGCCGCTGCCACCCACACACTGAACCAACCATCCGCTCAGGACAGATCTGCCACCTGTAGCCTTTGTCAAAGAGACTTTTCTCCAAATCTGTATATGCCAGTTGTACCATTTCCAGGCCAGGCGGAAATTGCTGAACAAAACTGTTCCTGTCTTAATGCAGCAATGTTATCACTCTCAGCAATACACTCACGGGAATCAGTCATATGGCAGTAAGTGTCCAAATAACCAACATCCCACTACCGCCTCTTACTGGATAAATGCAAGATCGGTGATCAACAAGCACTTCACCACATCGCAAAAATGGGTATTTTAGTATTGCTTCTAAGACTATAAGTGCGATGTATAATGACTTGCTTGTAAGTTCTGTAACTTTTCTCTCTCCGTCTCTCATGATTAGATGTTTATTGTAAGGCCTTGCTTCCTGTTAGTATTATACCAATGAAACTGTACCCCTGGTCTGCATCACAAACTAGGTGGTGTCTTCTACTAACTATGAATCTTGTCTGACGCTCTGCACAATTGTGTGGTGTGAGTGGAGGGTTGTGCAAGTGTGACAGCCAGCACAGGCAAAGTCCCTCACCAAAGGCTTTCAAGTATAGTAAGTTGTCATGGGATAAGCAGGAGGGTCCTTTCATGTATTGGTAACTGGTTAAAAGCCAGGAAACAAAGGGTAGGAATAAATGGCAAGTTTTCCAAATGGAGAGAGGTAACTAGTGGTGTCCCTCAAGGGTCCGTACTGGGACCAATCCTATTCAACTTATTTATAAATGATCTAGAGAAAGGGGTAAACAGGGAGGTGGCAACATTTGCAGATGATACCGAACGGCTCAAGGTAGTAAAGACCAAAGCAGACAGTGAAGAGCTTCGAAAAAAATCTCACCAAACCAAATGATTTGGCAACAAAATGGCAAATGAAATGTAATGTTGAAAAATGTAAAGCAATGCACATTGGAAAACATAATCCCAACTACACGTACAATATGATGGGGACTAATTTAGCTACAACTACTCAAGAGATTTTGGAGTCATTGCGGGAATTTCTCTGAAAACATCCACTCAGTGTGCGGCGGCAGTCAAAAAAGCAAACAATGTTAGGAATAATTTAAAAAGGGACAGAGAAGAAGACAGAGAATATCTTATTGCCTCTCTATAAAACCAGGGTACATTCTCATTTTGAACACTGTGTACAGATGTGGTCGGCCCGTCTCAAAAAGGCATTGGAAAAGTTTCAAAAAAGGGCAACAAAGATGATGAGGGGTTCGGAATGGATCACATATGAAGAGAGATTAAAAAGACTGGGACTTTTCATCTTAGAAAAGAGGAAACTAGGGGAGGGGGATATGGTAGAGGTCTATAAAATCATGAGTGGTGTGGAGAAAGTGAATAAGGAAAAGTTATTTACTTGTTCCCACAATATAAGAACTAGGGGTCACCAAATGGAATTAATAGGCAGCAGGCTTAAAACAAACAAAAGGAAGTTTTTCTTCACTTAGAGCACAGTCAGCTTGTGGAACTCCTCGCCAGAGGATGCGGCGAAGGCTAGAACTTTAACAGGGTTCAAAAAAGAGCAAGATAGATTCATAGAGGTTAGGTCCATCAATGGCTATTAGCCAGGATGGGTAGGAATGGTGTCCCCAGCCTCTGTTCATCTGGAAATGGATGACAGGAGAGGGATCACATGATGATTCCCTGTTATGTTCCCTCCCTCTGGACATCTGGCATGGGCACTTGTCCGTAGACAGGACACTGGGCTAGATGGACCTTTGGTCTGACCCAGTCTGGCTGTTCTGTGAAGTTGGGATGCGTATCTCAGCTACAACACTACATTAGCTACAAGATACCAGAGTATGCAGCAGACAAACAGAAATTGGTAGAGAGCAGCCACACCTGCACAAGCTGTCTATTCCTCACACAAAGTCAATCTTCTGGATGACATTTTTCTCCCCACACTTGTCAACATTAACAATAGAAAGTTAGGATTTCCCTTAAGACCTTAGATACAATACTGTAGTTTACAGACTGAGTTTCTGAAAAGAACATGAAACATTTAACTTACAGAAAATGCAAACTTTTGTGCTTGTTCATTCTGTTAAATTAAATACCAAGGAACGAGGAGGCATCCTTTCTTTGAACTCCAAGAAACATGTTGGCTGCCACAGAATTTCCTTTGAAAGGCTCTACTTCACTACTTCCGGACACTGTCACTTTTCATATAAAAGCCACAACTCTCATTCGCATGGAAGCCCTTGTTCATGAAGAGAACACAAAATATGGGATTTATCTCACCTGCTTCATAGGTTACAAAGCAAAGAGACCACTCTGATCTCCTATATAACACAACAGAGAAGTTCCCAAAGTAATGCCCAAAGCAGAAATTTAGGAAAAACAGCCAATCTTGATGTAAAAATTAGCCAGGATGGAGAATCCACCAAGACCCTTGGTAATGTGTTTCAATGGTTCATTAAACTCAGACCATGCCTACACGATTACTTTTGTTGGTATACCTTATGTTGCCTCGGGTGTAAAAAACCACACTCGTGAACTACATAAGTTACACGGACAGGAAGACCACGCCCAACACAGCTACCACACCTCATAGAAGTGTTTTTTTATGTTAATAGGAAAGCTCTCTTCTGCCACCATAGTGCAGCCACATAATGGATATTACAGAGACACAGGAGGGATATTACGGACACACACCTGCCCCACTAAGTTGGCTATTGCAGACATGGCCTCCCTGTTAATCATTTCCCATGTAGGTTTTTACAGATGGTGATCAAGTCACTCTTTCAACTTCTTTGTTAAGCAAAAAGACCGAGCTTCTTGAGTCTGTTACTATAGGGAATGTTTTCTAATCCATTGATCGCTCTCACAGCTCCTCTCTGATCGCTCTCCAATTTATCAACATCCTTCTTGAATTGAGGACACCTCAACTGGACACAGTAGTACAGCTGCAGTCGCACCAATGCTATACCCAGAAGAAAAACAACCTCTTTACTCCTACTACTGTTTAGGAGATACAGCTGTACAAAGGTTTGTCTACCCATGCAAGAGATACCAATTTAACTACCCACTGCTACAGCGTGCACCTAGTTATGCTGGCGCTTATAGTAACTCCCATGAAGAAGGGGAATAACACACACCAGTATAAGGCATGACACCAGCACTTGGAGTTGTATGGAAATAGCCATGATTGCAAAGCTCCTCCGTGGAACCATACTGACTGGTTTAAAAAGGGTTTCGACAGGAGCAAGCTCCAGCGATTACTCGCCGCCTGTGGGGCTCCCAGACCCGCCTGCAAGGGGCTGCTCTAAGCCAGGGGCCCGCACCGGCAGCAGGCGCC